AATTTAGCCCCCCTAAAATAGGCCTAGTGACACCACTGGTTGTGTGTGTGAGAGGATCAGAAAACAAGGAAGATGGTTGACGCTAACTTTTAACGCCAAAGCTTTAAAGCTAAAACGTTGTTTTAACCCAGTTGCTGTAAAACTGACCGAGTTATAGACTAGTCTTTTCCAAGGTCAGTTGACTGGGGCGGCCTTTTTGAATTGAGTCGACTCCAAAAATTAATCAGCTGTAGGTGTACATCCAATAACAACTTCCTGAAAGTTTCATTAAAATCTATACAGTGGTTCATGGGATATTTTGCTAACAGACAAACAGAGTTGACATTAATGGCAAAGCTTTCATAATATAATTTTAATTATAGCTGGCGCTCAGAGTAGGTGTTGAGGACAATTCTCAGCTACTATCAAACCAAATTTGAGCTCAATATCAATAAAATCAACTGAGCTGCAGCTGTTTATATGTCTGCTAAGGTTGTTTAGCTGTGGCGGCCATTTTGAAAAGAACTGACTCCAAAAGTTTATCAGCTGTAGACGAACATCAAACATTATAATTCTGTGAGCTACATTAGATTTTATTCTCTGCTTCATGAGATATTTTGTTAACAGTCAGACACACACCACTGCTGTGTTTTGAATTAATATATGAAGGCTCTCTTTCTTAGCTGAAACATTATAAATGTTAGGAATCTATCGTAATGTTTGTTATTTTTGTTTTCTCACACTGTTTGATATTTTACGAGTGATGTAGAGATCTGAGGGTTTTTTTTAGCTGAAACTTTTTATCATCATTATCCAAAAATAATATAACATAATCAAGGTTTATCTGCTCATCCCTTGCCATTTCCCTCTTTATCTTTTTTTTTTTTTTTGAAAGCGGGACAGATCTTGTGATTCGCTCTGAGCATCATGTTTTTTCTGTAACCTTTTAAACAGCAGCGCTCCATCTGACAGCCCCCCACCCCCCAGTCACAAGCTGCTGGCCAGTCGCCACATGCCAGCAGCTGCCACGAACAGTTTAACTTTTTCTTTCTTTGTGTTTTTTTTTCTTATACATTTTAGATCACATGAGTGCACAAGGGCACACATATATGCCCACACTCACACGCTCAAACAGAGGATTTTTCTTTCAAACTAACCAACATCTATAATCTTTGCAACTTAAATGTGGAAATTGATTTAATTTTCATAGTCTATTTCAGTATAATTCATTACTGATTTTGGGTGTAGCAGGAGTAAATGAATAACATGTGGATGAACGCAGAAATGCCAGATATTATTGTTGACGCCCTTATTTACTTATTTGTTTTGCAAGTCCTCTCTAACTCAGAAAGCACAAACAGTTAAGCTGAAACTGATCTGTTTACGAAATAGTGAATCATAACTTATATTTATGAAAACGTATATAATAAACATTTAAATGAATCAAAATAACATAATCCAGTTCATTTTTTTCCTTCTCTAAGCTGCTAGAAAGCTCAGCAGGAAAATATAGCTGTTTAAAACACCATGTGCGCACTACCAGGGATTATCAACTAGTGGTTGCCGGGCCATTTCTGGTCAGTGGACTTATCCTGTTCGGCCCATGAATTCTAAATGAAAGACCTTGCATTTTTTGTGGAAACATATTGCTACACCTTTTACTGTTTTAAACAAAGATAATTTGGGTTAAATATAGTGCCAGGCACATTACTGCTTTACTATAGCGTTAATGCAGCCAACACACACACACACACACACACACACACACACACAC